GATATGCACTATTTCTGCAAACAATATAGTTGGAGTATGGAGAATGGAGAATGGAGTATGGAGAAAGGAGCATGGAGTATAGAGAATGGAGCATGGAGTATAGAGAATGGAGCATGGAGTATGGAGTATGGAGAATGGAGAATGGAGTATGGAGAAAGGGAGCATGGAGTATAGAGAATGGAGCATGGAGTATAGAGAATGGAGCATGGAGTATGGAGAATGGAGAATGGAGCATGGAGCATGGAGAATGGAGAATGGAGTATAGAGCATGGAGAATGGAGCATGGAGTATAGGAGTATGAAGCAGGTAATACAGCCTACATACTGACATTGGGGAACGATGGAGAAAGTACAGAGAAAGGCAACCAAACTGATATACGAGGCATGGAGGAGATCAGCTACGAGGAAAGATTAGAGGAACTGAATGTATTCTCTATGATCTGAGATGAGGAGAGATTAAGGGGGGATATGATCACCATGTATAATACATAAGGGGGGATATGATCACCATGTATAATACATAAGGGGGATATGATCTCCATGTATAATACATAAGGGGGGTATGATCACCATGTATAATACATAAGGGGGGATGATGATCACCATGTATAATACATAAGGGGGGATATGATCTCCATGTATAATACATAAGGGGGATATGATCTCCATGTATAATACATAAGGGGGGGATATGATCTCCATGTATAATACATAAGGGGGGGATATGATCTCCATGTATATAATACATAAGGGGGGATATGATCTCCATGTATAATACATAAGGGGGATATGATCTCCATGTATAATACATAAGGGGGGGATATGATCTCCATGTATAATACATAAGGGGGGATATGATCTCCATGTATATAATACATAAGGGGGGATATGATCTCCATGTATAATACATAAGGGGATATGATCTCCATGTATAATACATAAGGGGGGATATGATCTCCATGTATAATACATAAGGGGGGATATGATCTCCATGTATAATACATAAGGGGGGATATGATCTCCATGTATAATACATAAGGGGGGATATGATCTCCATGTATATAATACATAAAGGGGGATATGATCTCCATGTATAATACATAAGGGGGGATATGATCTCCATGTATAATACATAAAGGGGGATATGATCTCCATGTATAATACATAAGGGGGGGATATGATCTCCATGTATAATACATAAGGGGGGATATGATCTCCATGTATAATACATAAGGGGGGGATCTCCATGTATAATGATCTCCATGTATAATACATAAAGGGGGGGGATCCATGATCTCCATGTATAATACATAAGGGGGGTATGATCTCCATGTATAATACATAAGGGGGGGGATATGATCTCCATGTATAATACATAAGGGGGGATATGATCTCCATGTATAATACATAAGGGGGGATATGATCTCCATGTATAATACATAAGGGGGGATATGATCTCCATGTATAATACATAAGGGGGGATATGATCTCCATGTATAATACATAAGGGGGGGATATGATCTCCATGTATAATACATAAGGGGGGATATGATCTCCATGTATAATACATAAGGGGGGATATGATCTCCATGTATAATACATAAGGGGGGATATGATCTCCATGTATAATACATAGGGGGGATATGATCTCCATGTATAATACATAAGGGGGGGATATGATCTCCATGTATAAATACATAAGGGGGGATATGATCTCCATGTATTATCCCATAAGGGGGGGATATGATCTCCATGTATAATACATAAGGGGGGGGATATGATCTCCATATAATACATAAGGGGGGGGGATATGATCTCCATGTATAATACATAAGGGGGGATATGATCTCCATGTGTATAATACATAAGGGGGGGGATATGATCTCCATGTATAATACATAAGGGGGGATATGATCTCCATGTATAATACATAAGGGGGGGGATATGATCTCCATGTATAAATACATAAGGGGGGATATGATCTCCATGTATAATACATAAGGGGGGATATGATCTCCATGTATAATACATAAGGGGGGGGATATGATCTCCATGTATAATACATAAGGGGGGATATGATCTCCATGTATAATACATAAGGGGGGATATGATCTCCATGTATAATACATAAGGGGGGATATGATCTCCATGTGTATAATACATAAGGGGGGGGGATGATGATCTCCATGTATAATACATAAGGGGGGGGATATGATCTCCATGTATAATACATAAGGGGGGATATGATCTCCATGTATAATACATAAGGGGGGATATGATCTCCATGTATAATACATAAGGGGGGATATGATCTCCATGTATAATACATAAGGGGGATATGATCTCCATGTATAATACATAAGGGGGGGATATGATCTCCATGTATAATACATAAGGGGGGATATGATTCTCCATGTATAATACATAAGGGGGGGATATGATCTCCATGTATAATACATAAAGGGGGGATATGATCTCCATGTATAATACATAAGGGGGGATATGATCTCCATGTATAATAATAAGGGGGAGGGGGGATCTCCATGTATCTCCATAAGGGGGGATATGATCTCCATGTATAATACATAAGGGGGGATATGATCTCCATCCATGTATAATACATAAGGGGGATATGATCTCTCCATGTATAATATAAGGGGGGGGATATGATCTCCATGTATAATACATAAGGGGGGATATGATCTCCATGTATAATACATAAGGGGGGGGATATGATCTCCATGTATAATACATAAGGGGGGATATGATCTCCATGTATAATACATAAGGGGGGGATATGATCTCCATGTATAAATACATAAGGGGGGGGATATATCTCCATGTATAATACATAAGGGGGGGATATGATCTCCATGTATAATACATAAGGGGGGATATGATCTCCATGTATAATACATAAGGGGGGGATATGATCTCCATGTATAATACATAAGGGGGGGGGGATATGATCTCCCATGTATAATACATAAGGGGGGGGATTATGATATATGATCTAAAGGGGGATATGTATCCATGTATAATACATAGGGGGGGGGATATGATCTCCATGTATAATACATAAGGGGGGGATATGATCACCATGTATAATACATAAGGGGGGGGATCTCCATGTATAATAAGGGGGGATATGATCTCCATGTATAATACATAAGGGGGGATATGATCTCCATGTATAATACATAATAAGGGGGGGATATGATCTCCATGTATAATACATAAGGGGGATATGATCACCATGTATAATACATAAGGGGGGGATATGATCTCCATGTATAATACATAAGGGGGGATATGATCTCCATGTATAATACATAGGGGGGATATGATCCTCCATGTATAATACATAAGGGGGGATATGATCTCATGTATAATACATAAGGGGGATATGATATGATCTCCATGTATAATACATAAGGGGGGATATGATCTCCATGTAATAATACATAAGGGGGGATATGATCTCCATGTATAACCACATAAGGGGGATATGATCTCCATGTATAATAATAAGGGGTGATATGATCTCCATGTATAATACATAAGGGGGGGATATGATCTCCATGTATATAATACATAAGGGGGGATCATGATCTCTCCATATAATACATAAGGGGTGATATGATCTCCATGTATAATACATAAAGGGGGGGGATATGATCTCCATGTATAATACATAAGGGGAGGATATGATCTCCATGTATTAATACATAAGGGGGGGGATATGATCTCCATGTATAATACATAAGGGGGGATATGATCTCCATGTATAATTACATAAGGGGGGATATGATCTCCATGTTAAGGGGGGATATGATCTCCATGTATAATACATAAGGGGGGATATGATCTCCTTGTATAATACATTGGGGGGATATGATCTCCTTGTATAATACACTCCCATACTTAAAAAGCCCTCCCTGGACCCCACCAACATGAACAACTTAAGACCCATCTCCCTGCTGCCATTTACCTCTAAACTCCTAGAACGCTTAGTCTACAATCACCTGAGCTCCCACCTCACCGACAACAACCTTCTTGACCCTTCTTGACGCTTTCGCTCACTACACTATCCACTGAAACTTCCCTACTAAAGCTCACTAATGATCTACTAACTGCTGCTAAAAACCAATGGCCACTACTCCGTACTCTCACTACTTGACCTTGCGGATTTTGATACGGTTGACCATCCCCTCCTCCTCAAAAAACTCCACTCTCTTGGCCTCCCAGACTCTGCTCTCTCCTGGTTCTCCTCCTACCTATCACAGAGCTCCTTCGGCGTTACCTATAACGTTGCCTCCACCTCCTCATCACTCCCTCATTCTGTAGGGGTCCCTAAAGGTTCTGTCCTTGGACTCCTTCTCTTCCCCATCTACACCTCCTCCTTTGGTCACTTGATAAACTCCCATGGCTTCAAGTACCATCTCTATGCTGATGACACACAAATCTATCTCTCTACCCCTCAGCTCACCCCTTCAGTCTCCTCCTCACCTCACCCCTTCAGTCTCCTCTCGCATTACTAACCTACTAAGTGACATATCGGCATGGATGTCACTCCACTTCCTCAAACTCAATCTTTTCAAAATTGAGCTCCTAGTATTCCCCACAGCTCGTGCCCCCTCCCCTGACTTCTCCATCAAGATCAATAACACAATCATCATTCCCTCCCCTCATGCCAGGGTACTAGGTGTAATCCTAGACTCCCATCTGTCCTTTCAGCCCCAAATCCAATCATTGTCCAAATCTTGTAGACTTCACTTCCGCAACATCTCCAACCTCCGCAACATCTCCAACCTCCGCAACATCTCCAAGATACGCCCGTTCCTAACCTCGGAAACCACTAAGCAACTTATTCACTCCCTGGTTATATCTTGCCTTGACTATTTTAACTCCCTCCTCATTGGGCCGACCTCATCGCAGGCTATCCCCTCTTCAGTCTATCATGAATGTTGCTGCTAGACTCATCCACCTCACTAATCGTTCTGTATCTGCCACCCCTCTCTGCCAATCCCTCCACTGACCTCTACTCAGTGTCCTCCACCCTCTCTCTGCCAATCCCTCCACTGGCTTCCCATTGCCCAATGGATAAAATTCAAAACATTAACAATAATGTATAAAGCCATTTATAACTCTGCCCCAAATTACATCACCGATCTTGTCTCCAAATATCACCCAAACCGTACTCTCCGCTCCTTGCAAGACCTCCTGCTCTCTAGCTCCCTTGTCTCCTCCTCCCATGCTCATCCCCAGGACTTCTCCAGAGATTCCCCCATCCTCTGGAACTCTCTACCCCAATTTATCAGACTATCGCCTACTCTGCTCACTTTTAGGCGATCTCTGAAAACCTATCTCTTCAGGGAAGCCTATCCTGCCCTCAGCTAATAATGGAATCTTCTTCTCTTCCAACCAGTCCATCCCCCACAGTTACTACCTTTTTTACCACTAGCTCCTCCCTCCTACATTGTAAGCTCCAAGGAGCAGGGCCCTCCTATCCCTCTTGTATTGAACTATATTGTCTCCCGTTATATTGTAAAGCGCTGAGCAAACTGTTGGCGCCATAAATCCTGTATAATAATAATAATCCCCTGCAGGCCAGGGTGCTAGGGGTAACCCTGGATCCTGAACTATCCTTTCAGGCCCACATCCAATCCCTGTCCAAATCATGCCACCTCAACCTCCGCAACATCTCCAGAATATGCCCCTTTTTAACCAATGATACCACAAAGCTCCTAATTCATTCCCTGGTTATTGACTCGATTACTGCAACTCCCTCCTCATTGGATGACCTTTACATAGACTACCCCCCTTCCAGTCCATCATGCATACTGCTGCCAGGCTCATCCACCTTACCAACCATTCAGTGTCTGCTACCCCTCTCTGCCAATCCCTCCAATGGCTTCTACTCAGTGTCCTCCACCCATCTCTGCCAATCCCTCCACTGGCCTCCATTCAGTGTCCTTCAACCCTCTCTTCCAATCCCTCCACTGACCTCCATTCAGTGTCCTCCACCTCTCTCTGCCAATCCCTCCACTGGCTTCCACTCAGTGTCCTCCATCCCTCTCTGCCAATCCCTCTACTGGCTTCCACTCAGTGTCCTCCACCCCTCTCTGCCAATCCCTCCACTGGCTGCCACTCAGTGTCCTCCACCCCTCTCTGCCAATCCCTCCACTGACCTCCACTCAGTGTCCTCCACCCCTCTCTGTCAATCCCTCCACTGACCTCCATTCAGTGTCCTCCACCTCTCTCTGCCAATCCCTCCACTGGCTTCCACTCAGTGTCCTCCACCCCTCTCTGCCAATCCCTCCACTGACCTCCACTCAGTGTCCTCCACCCCTCTCTGCCAATCCCTCCACTGACCTCCATTCAGTGTCCTCCACCTCTCTCTGCCAATCCCTCCACTGGCTTCCACTCAGTGTCCTCCACCCCTCTCTGCCAATCCCTCCACTGACCTCCACTCAGTGTCCTCCACCCCTCTCTGCCAATCCCTCCACTGACCTCCATTCAGTGTCCTCCACCTCTCTCTGCCAATCCCTCCACTGGCTTCCACTCAGTGTCCTCCACCCCTCTCTGCCAATCCCTCCATTGGCTCCCACTCCCTCAATGCATAAAATTCAAAATACTTACAACAACTTACAAAGCCATCCACAACTCTGCCCCCAGCTACATCGCCAACCTGGTCTCAAATTATCAACCAAACTGCTCTCTTCGATCCTCCGAAGACCTTCTGCTATCTAGTTCCCGTGTCACCTCCTCCCATGCTCGCCTCCAGGACTTCTCCCTAGCTTCTCCCATCCTATGGCATTCTCTACCCCAATCTGTCTGGCTGTCCCCTAATCTATCCACCTTTAGACGATCCCTGAAAACCTTTCTCTTTAAAGAAGTCTATCCTGCTTCTACCTAGCCTTTCATTTCCTCCATCAGCTCGTCCCCCCCACAGCTATTACCTTTTGTATCATTCAACCCTTCTTCCTAGATTCCTAGGTTCCTAGATTGTAAACTCTAACGAGCCGGGCTGTTTCCTCTTGTACCAAATTGTATTGTAACTGTAATGTCTGCCTTAATTTTGTAAAGCGCTGCGCAAACTGTTGGCGCCATATAAATCCTGTATATAATAATAATAATAATAATAATAATAAATCACTTGTGTCATTGGCTTGCTTTCTCCCTCAGAAATTGTGGCCTATCCGATAAAAACTTCAAAGTTGTACTGCAAATCTTTACAATTTTTTTTCTTTTGATTTTGTAACAAATAGGTGCTATTTTTTTTTATCTTTTATCTGTGGTGCAAAATTGTAAAACAAATTCACTGTTTAGTCTCTGAATTAAGTCGCTCATTTTTTTTTATTTTCCAGATATGATAGCCATTTGATGCCATTCTGCACTTTTTCTGGCTTCAGCAGAGTTATCCGGTGGGTGTGAACAATATATAATATCTCTGCCATTGCTTTTTGGACCAAGTGTCTGTGGTCAGGTTGCCCCTGTTTACCACATGATGAGGCAACTTACCCTTACACAATTGTGGTTGTTCGGTTGGTCATCCAAATGCCTAAATGTTTACTCATTCAGCCCCCTGTTTGGTGGGAGCTGAGCATCATCTATAGTAATTAGTATTTCCATCACTTCTATACATTTATCCTGAAGCTGGACTTTATGGTTGGCTATTTTTAATTTACGGGTTTCATAAGAAATACCAACTTTTTAAAAAATGCTAATATTTTTTGTCCTAAGGAAAACAACTTATGTGTGACTTTGTTATTACATAGTTATTGCTGAATCAAGAGTTTCGTAGTGGAAAGTACACATTGCTCTGCTCCATCGGTGGTGTACAGGTGTGAGAGCCAAAGTGGTTAAAAAGATTTAAAAAGATGAAAGGTATTTATCCCTGTAGATGCATTTAATGAAGAAAAATCCATATATATATTACATAACCTTTCTTCACAAATCTTAAGTCCATTATTCATAGCATTTAATATACAGTAATAATAATAATAATAATTATTATTATTGTTATTGTTATTAATATCAATAGCAAAAAAAGTAAATACATACAATAATAATAATGATAATAATAATATTATTTAATATACAGTGATAATAATAATAATAAAAATAATACTAATAATAAAAATATTTAATATACAATAATAATACTAATAATAATAAGTATTATTATTATTATTGTTGTTGTTGTTGCTATTATTATCAATAACAAAAAATAAATTCAATTAAAAGAAAATAATAATACTAATATTAATACTGATGATGAAGATGTTGATGATGATATTATTATTATTATTATTTAATTATTTTGTTATTGATATTTTATAGAACAGTACATTTTATATTTAATTATAATATACATTTTCTTAATATTGTACATGCTAATAAACAACTTCATTATTTTGTAATCTTGCATCTGAATGTTAAATACAATATATACTGAATATCCAGCAAAATAAAACTATTAAACATTATAAGTTTTATCTCTCAGCATCGCTCGTACTGGAAAGCAGTTCTGTAGTAAAGTATTATCAGACATCTTCTTCAGGGAACAGCCGGAGTTTGTTCTATTGGATGGAAGTTTCTGTACAATCTCTCAGGGGATGGAATCTGAATTTACTCTTCTTCACCTCATCACTGAAGTCACATTTAGACTTTTGTATTTCTTGTGTCTTTTACAGTAAAATCTTTAATATCCCCGCTGTGTTGTTGGGTTCCCCTGATAGGTCCTATTCTGGAGGCTGCTCACCGAATGATGACAATATTTCACACATTGCAGCAGAACAGTAAAGATGGCGACTGATAATAATATTTATTTATATATATATATATTTGTAACCAGCATTATACAGATAATTGATATGATTGTACAGCGACGTTCAATGTGTACATTGCTGTCCTAGTTTGCTGTTTTATTGAACATCCAAGTATTGCTGCTTTTGTGCTTTTTACTTCCATATGGTACAGTACATAATTCAGAATAAAAACTTTACTTCAGATTAATTCAAAGAAAAAATAAAATGAAAGTGACCGGGTTCCTGTGCAGTAACTTGTAAATGCATGAAGCTGAATGACCTACCAGAAAAATTCCTGTACACTATGGTGTCATAGAATAAAAGCAGAAAATATACACTATATTGCCTGCAGTATTGGACCGCCTGCCTTTCCACACACATGACCTTTAATGTCCTCCCAGTCTTAATCCATAGGGTTCAATATTGAGTTGGCCCCGCCCTTTCCACACACATGAACATTAATGGCCCCCCAGTCTTAGTCCGTAGGGTTCAATATTGAGTTGGCCCCGCCCTTTGCCGCTATAACAGCTTCAACTCTTCTGGGAAGGACGTCCACAAGGTTTAGGAGGGTGTCTATGGGAAGGTTGGACCATTCTTCCAGAAGCACATTTGTCAGGTCAGGCACTGATGTCGGGGGGGGAGGGGGCCTGGCTCGCAGTCTCCGCTCTAATTCATCCTAAAGGTGTTCTATGGGGTTGAGGTCAGGACTCTGTGCAGGCCAATCAAGTTCCTCCACCCCAAACTGGCTCTTCCATGTCTTTATGGACCTTGCTTTGTGCACTGGTGGGCAGTCATGTTGGAACAGGAAGGGGCCATCCCCAAACTTTTCCCACAAACTTGGGAGCATGAAATTGTCCAAAATGTCTCAGTATGCTGACGCCTTAAGAGTTCCTTTCACTGGAACTAGGGGGCCAAGCCCAACCCCTGAAAAACAACCCCACACCATAATCCCCCCTCCACCAAACTGTACACTTGGCACAATGCAGTCAGGCAAGTACCGTTCTCCTGGCAACTGCCAAACCCAGACACGTCCATCGGATTGCCAGACAGAAAAGCATGATTGGTCACTCCAGAGAACACATCTCCTCTGCTCTAGAATACAGTGGTGGCGTGCTTTATACCACAGCATCCGACGCTTTGCATTGCACTTGGTGATGGAAGGCTTGGATGCAGTTGCTTGGCCATGGAAACCCATTCCATGAAGCTCTCTACGCACTGTTGTTGGGCTCATCTGAAGGCCACACCAAGTTTGGAGGTCTTTAGCTATTGGCTCTGCAGACAGTTGGTGACTTCTGCGCACTGTGCGCTTCAGCATGCGCTGACCCCGCCCTGTCCCTCATCATGTGACGTGGCCTACCACTTGGTGGCTGAGTGACTGTTGTTTCCAGTGGCTTCCACTTTGTTATAATCCCACTAACAGTTGGTGGAATATTTAGTAGCCAGGAAATGTCACGGATGGACTTATTGCCCAGGTGGCCACCTATCACGGGACCAAGCTTGGAGTCACTGAGCTCCTGAGAGCGACCCATTCTTTCACCAATGTTTGTAGAAGCAGTCTGCATGCCTAGGGGGGCGATTGTATACACCTGTGTCCATGGAGGGGATTAGAACACCTGAATCACATGATTTAGAGGGGTGGGGCCAATACTTTTGGCTATAAAGTGTATACTTATCATACACAGGCTAGTGTATAGCACAGATACAGATGCATGAGCTGTATAATATGCTCCTCTATGGTTTTTTAGGGTTTTTGAAAATTATGGATTTTACAGGCTCTATAAGTAACAGACCAGCTTCCTTTTGAGAGAATTGTCTTGCAAATTTTTTTTTCAAACCCCCTTATTGGCCTTTTAGGCCAGACGACCTAAGTTCAAAGGTCGATGTGACTAACCGTCCCTTTGTGATAACATTTTGCCCTTTCTGTTCTGGTTTTATCCCCTTGGTAAAGCTGTATATATTTAGCAGCTGGTACAGTATGTAGACAGGCATTCTACAGTGTTTGTTCATACTGTATTGTTGGTTGTAGGGTTTTGTTGTGGGTGGGGAAAACCCGGTGCCAGGCTGTCTGGTGGGGTTGAAGCTGTATATACTGAGCTGTGTTTAATAAGATTGAGTCATTTTCACCCTACACGAAGTTCCGACTCGTGGTTTGGGGTAGCAGAGAAGGACTGGTATCAAGCTCTAATACCTGCCTTGGCAGAGCAATGGAAGACTTGCAGGACAAGGGGACCATTGGCTGAGACGCATCGCTCCGTACGAGGAAGCCCAGGCGGAACGGTTCCGCCACAGTCGGAATATGTAGTATGATGTAGTAGTATGATCACAAAAAACTGTTGTCTGGCAATTCCTGCACTAATCAGGATTGTGCTATTCTGGGATTCCGGATTATTTACTTTGAATCACTTTC